ACAACATACGAAAAAGTGGAAAACCATTAAAATAAATTTAATTGTGCATTTATATAATCTATCTTAAGAAGTTTTAGAAGTGACACTCACACACCTTATCAACATGAAAAACCAATCATCATGCATTGCATTTTCATCATTCCTATTACGTGGTTCGATAATGGTTAGTCTTTTGTCACACCAATTAAGAAAGGCAGATATGTTTTAGAACACTATTTAGACAAACTAGGCCAGAAATTTCCTGTTTGATTGTGAATTTGACAATTTGTGATACCTAAAACTTTCATCAATCATCCTCCATCATGACTCAACTGATTTTTAAAACACCAGAATTTAATTAGGGATTTGAAACTAATAACAGAATTTTAAAGAGCAAGCAGGCTAGGCCCAACGGGCCCAAGCAAAAGCCCACAGTGACCCATGAAAAATGACCGTTGGCTGCAACCTTTTACCGTTCCCCCCGCTCCCTTCCTATATAACTGTCCCGAAATTCGACCGTTGCAAACTCCCTCCGACTCGCCACTGCCAGAGAGAAACGCCACCGGAAGAAAGACCCCTCTCTGTTTTTTTCCGGCGGTCCTCTCCAAAATTCCACCTCCGTCAGAAAATCAAAACGCCAACCAAAAAATGGATCCACAGGCGAGAAGGAAAAGCGGGCTCAATCTCCCAGCTGGGATGAACGAGACCTCCCTCCGCCTCGACACCCTCGCTAATCAATCTCCATCTGTTTCCTCCTCTTCGGCATTTCGAGTAACCTCGGTATCTTCCCCCCGAGCAATCTCCAGCCTTTCGTCGCCATCGAAGACTTCCGTTTGCAGCGATCGGTTCATACCTTGCAGATCGGCTTCCAGGCTCCACACATTTGGGCTTCTGGACAAGCCGGCGGCGGCTGGGTCCCCGGCCAAAGAAGGAGGAGGGAACGAGACTTATGCTAGATTGTTGAAATGTGAGCTATTTGGGTCTGATTTTGGTTCTTTTACTTCTTCCCCTGCAGGCAGCGGCGGTTTGGGAAGTCCCAATATGCTGAGATTCAAGACCGATCACTCTGGAGGGTCCAATTCGCCGTATTCTCCTTCGATCTTGAGGCAGGATAGTGGAAGTTCTAATGAAGGTTCTACCCCTACTAAGCCTCCCCGCAAGGTCCCCAAAACTCCCCACAAGGTCAGGAATTTCAAATTCAAGTTAGGGTTTCAATGCTAATTGGGGGAAAAAATGTGCAGTAGGGTTTTGATTGATTATACTTTTCTGCTGCAGGTTTTGGATGCTCCATCTCTACAAGATGATTTCTACCTGAACGTGGTAGATTGGTCATCCCAAAATGTGCTTGCTGTTGGGTTGGGGACTTGTGTGTATTTATGGTCTGCATCAAACAGCAGAGTAAGCATTTTTTTTTGCTGTAGTTTGTTTGTTGTCGCTGAATGATTATGCAGCAACTTGGGAAAATTGGCAATGTGTGTCAGAAATGAATGAAAGTAGCAATTTTGTTTTGTGTTTGTTGCTATTAGGTGACGAAGTTGTGTGATTTAGGACCTAATGATAGTGTGTGCTCAGTTCAATGGACCAGAGAGGGCTCCTACATATCGGTTGGCACCCATTTTGGGCAAGTTCAGGTAGCTTTTTACAGTTTGTCCAGTTCTTGGTCCATTTCGATTTCTCGAGAGTGATTGTAGAGTAAGAATGATGATTTTTGTTCTGTTCTGTTTGGCATGGTAGGTGTGGGATGGAACACAGTGCAAGCGCGTAAGGACAATGGGAGGGCATCAAACGAGGACAGGTGTATTGGCATGGAATTCGCGGATTCTGGCATCAGGAAGCAGAGATAGGAACATACTTCAGCACGATCTTCGTGTTCCCAGCGACTTCGTTAGCAAACTTGTTGGTCATAAATCTGAGGTGCCTTGTGCTTTCCAAAACTGTTACTTTTAAGTTCCCTGAAGTGGAAGAAGTACTGTGTGGTGCTAAATTGCTGGGCTGCATTTTTTGCAGGTGTGTGGACTAAAATGGTCCCACGATGACAAACAACTTGCATCTGGTGGAAATGACAATCAGGTAACTGGATCGAAAAGAATCGGATGGGTGCGTTAGTGTGATTGAGAGAGATAATTGGGTGGAATGACTTGAATTGGGGTTTCTTTCAGCTGCTAGTATGGAACCAGCAATCTCAGCAACCAATTCTGAAGCTGACAGAGCACACGGCAGCAGTGAAGGCGATTGCATGGTCGCCTCATCAGAGTGGGCTGCTTGCATCTGGAGGTGGAACTGCTGATAGATGCATTCGCTTCTGGAACACAACCACGGGCAGTCAGTTAAACCATATCGATACCGGTAGCCAGGTAAATATATCGTTCTCCATGATCAACACATAATTTCGCCAGTAGTTTGCATTTTCCCTAAAGTTTTACATTGTTGTCAAGTGCTAATGGGGGTATGGTTTGTGGGGCAGGTATGCAATCTAGCTTGGAGCAAGAACGTGAACGAGTTGGTGAGCACTCATGGATATTCCCAGAACCAAATCATGGTGTGGAAGTATCCATCATTATCTAAGGTATTTTCATCGATCAACTCAGTATCCTAGTTAGAATTATTAAACCACAAGCAGCCAAAAATTACCAAAAACTAAAAATCACTGTTCATTACGAAAAAAACGCAACCTACTGTTCACGAATAGGGTAACGTGATTCCGTGCGGCCAAATACACGTGAGCTCATGGATACTTTTGTTGGGCTGGCTAAACATGACCGTTGATGGGCTTTTTAGTTTTCAAGAAGCATGAAGCCGCATGCACCTGATCCTCTCTCTTTCATCGAATCTCCTCTCTCGTCCTTCCACCCACCCCTCTTCTCTCCTCGAAACGAAAATCCTACCCGCCCGACTCTCTTCCCTCTTTCCGTCAGCCCATCTTCTTTCCTCCATTCCAATCAGAGAAAGAAAAACGGCAGCGGCCGCATGCCAACGCATTTCTCCTCCGCTCCGGCCGAAACACACACTGACGAACGATGCCCAATCTCCCATCTCTCATCTCTGAACCCGCCACTGCTGAATGGCACGTCGGTGGGAGACAGTGGCAACGCCAAATTTCCCCTCTCACGAGCACCATTGGCAAGCGCCTCCTTCTTCCTACCACTAAATTGGTGGTGCTCCGATTGGCGACGACGGTGGAATCTGGGTGGACAGTTTTAGGAATGGATTCAGCAGCCGTACCCGAGATAGGACATGACTCACAGGAGAATGCCCATTATCTTGCAGAAGCTACGATTCTAGAGGAGGGGTACAAACCTAATCCCTGCAGAAACTACCTTCACTTCTTCCTTCGTTGCTATCAGCTCCATCATCCGCTCAAAGCGGTCCTGAGTAGGGTTACTCCTCAGAGACGGTTGCGGTGAGCTCCGGCCTCCGAGCTGTGAGGACTTTGAAGAGTCGCCAGTACCGAATTTAAGAGATTCCTAGATTCATTAGTTTGAGATGGTCATCATGAAGAGGTGCACGGTGGTTTACGGATAGTAAAAAAGTGATAAAAGGAGAAGCTGGTGGTTGGAGAAAGGGATGTGCATCAATTTCATTGTTTTCTTGGTCTTGCATGGATGGAGATTGTTGTTCCTGTTTAACTGTTTTAAAACAATTTTGATTTATGCCCGGCTCCAAAGTTCTCCAGCTGTAGTGCACCCATTCCTTTTTCCAATTGCAATTTGTGCATGGGTGACACATTGCAGGCGAAGGATGACACTTGGTGGCACTTTAGCTGAGCGGGTTAGCTAGGATGAGACTCTTATCCCAAAATTGTGTGAATGGATCTTCCTGTTCTCTTCGAATGCCTTTCTCTAATTGCATATATGGGCCGCAATGCCCCTCCATGTTCCTCACCAATAGCCTATCGATTGGGGAGTCAAATAACAACTAAATCATTTTACTGTCAATTGTAATATTAACTACATGTTGTCATCAGTTTTGTAATATTAATTAATCGAATGTAATATTATTTTTTATAAATTTATTTTATTATTTACTTAACGTAACATTGTTCTATAATAATTACATAAATTATAGATACATGATGTAAAATTTACAGAGAAATCATTAATTCTTTATGTACCAATAAAACATAGCGTATTACTCCTATTGATTGATATACTGTATAAAGCTTATCGAGAGATATTAACCTCATATGTATCAATTAAATAAACATAATGCGTAAATATGCTTTAATATAAGTTGGATAAAAAATCCTAAAATTTTAACTAAACTATTAACTAGCTCATCAATTGGCATTACATAAAGTTTTCTAAGGTTAGTTAGTTTTGCATAAGAGTTTAATCAATTGTTTATGTAACTCTTAACATAAATAATTTACTATTAAATAAAGTGTTTATGATTACCTACAATATTCACATCTCATCAATTTGCATTACATAGTTGTTCCGTAAGATAAGTTAATTTTACATAATAGTGGTGTAATCAAATGTGAGACCTATCAATTAATTTTATTATTAGAATTTGGAAGACATATCACAAAAAATTTATGCAACACTTTTAATTACAATTACTAAATTACAAATACATTACATAAAATCTATAAAAAAAAATATTTATTTCTTATGTATCAATTAAAAAAATCTTATGAAAATATTGTAAGCGAAATATTTTGTGAAATATTTCATTTCAACTAAACCATTAAATAAAGAGATGAAATTTTAAATGTAGTTAATATTTTACCGCCGCGAAGCGCGGGCTAAAAAACTAGTAATAATAATAAACCGTCTCAAACAAACACCAGTATAGTTATATACGGCTATTCACTGATCGCCATTTTCATTTTTGGATAGGTTGCAACTCTAACTGGACACAGTCTGCGGGTTCTGTACCTTGCCATGTCGCCTGATGGACAGGTAGTGGAGCCTGTTTGTTTCATTCAGCTCCTCAATAGAAGCTTTGAACATTATACTTTTCTCCAGTTAACTTAAATTCTGTGGGGTTTTTTTCCTTCTTTCTTTTGTTTGCAGACGATAGTAACTGGAGCAGGAGATGAAACTCTGCGGTTCTGGAATGTCTTCCCATCCATGAAGGCACCGGTAAGCTAGTTCTCCCTTCTAACAACTGTGGAATGTTATCAGAAGCAAATATTTATACCACTAAAAGTCTACTAAAACAAGTTTTTACTGCCAACAGGCGCCAGTTAAAGATACAGGGCTTTGGTCGCTGGGACGAACGCACATTAGATGATGAGATTATCAATCAATCTTCAACTATTCACCTTGCCTCCACCTGTACATGAAGGAGTTGTGCACATACCTACCACCATGTTTATATTTGCCACTCAGTAAAGATGACTAGAATATTTGCTTGAAATTTGAAACAGTTGTATTGCCTTTTCTTGTTCATTTCCCCCTTCTTTGGTAATTGTAAAGTCGGTTACTTGTGCCTACTCTCATTGAAACTGGTGTTTATTAGATTATAATGAGATTGTGTTTGTTGGATTATATATTATTCGGTGTGGGTTGGCAAGCACGCAAGAACTCATATTTAGCAAATGAGATTGTATAAATTCATGTCGTACATGTATTTGGTTTACTATAGGTGTGGATTGCATATGATTGGATAATTTGTGAGATTATATGCATTTGTGAAGTTTGCGATATTCGCGCCAAAATTTAACAAAAGATAAAGTTAAAAAGCATGTATATTGAAAGTCAAATGGATTCACACGGCGGAGACAGCCTATACACCAATTGACCGACACCAAACGTTGCCAGAAGATCCCCCACAACTCTTTTAAAGTTTGTTTCCATAATCAATCCAAGTTAATGAGCACCATCCATTTTGGCATTTACATACTTCTGGTCGACAATGAAAAGAAAAACAGTGGAGTGATCAATGTGAAATACCATAGAACTGGAACTAAGGCAACCAATTGGGAAGTTGATACCCATTAACGCCTCTTCAAATACTATATAGATGGGGTTCTGTTACTACAGTCAGATACATGCTAAAAACAGTAATGCTTCAATACGTTACTACAAAGTGTACCTAAATTTGTAGCCGCGAATCCAGTCTTCGCCCTTTTCAAAATAGTCCATCCTAGTAAACGTCTGCTGCGGGAACTGTGCAGATGCAGCATATGCAGAAGCTCCTCGCCAGGCATCAAGAACTGGATCCAATGCTCTCACTATCTTAATCGGGGCCCCACATGGTCGAATCATCCGAATCCCAGCTTCCAAGCGCTCACACATACCAGGATATAGGCAGCTTCCTCCGGTCATAAGGATGGAGCTGGTCAGTCTCTTCTCCAACTCCTCATCCTTTTCCGGTAACCTCCTTATAGACACCCCAGCCATCTCATCCACCCCTGCCTGACCAATCCCTACTAGGTTCGGATTAAATAGGACCTCAGGGCATCGGAACCTTTCTATCCCAAGCACAATCTTGAAGTCTTCCTGGGTTAGTGGTCGAGACTTAAGCACCTCAGAACCTGGTTGGGAGGTTTCTGCTTCTGATTTAGGCACAAATGTTCGGTCTATTTCCTGTCAAGTAAAGATCATATTTATATAAGAGGAGTGCACAAGAGTTAAAAGGGTGCATTTGTTTTCAGAATCACAAATTACGGAAAGCTAAGAGCCAGACACTAATACAGTTCCGTTTTCAGCTCTGCCCCTTGGAAAAGGAATCCATTCTTAAAATAATAGCCACGGTACTTATTTCTCAAAATGCAGGTTTTATTATAATACAAATTATCCAGTATCTCATCGATTACTCTTCTATTACTTAACCATATACAGCTTGTTTTCAACTCGATCTTTTCTATCAAACACATTTTTCTTCACCTTTGCTAAAAATTGTAAGAGCAAGTAAAAAGTTGCTAAAAGCTGAAATAGACACCAGGTTTAGAGAATCAGAGACCTATTGTTTAGAACTTGAGAAAGAAAACTACCTGAAGTCGGGAAGAAATGCGTGCCAGCTCTACTTCATCAGGTTCTGGTCCATCATCATCGTCATCATTGTCTTTGCTCATCAACTTGTACAACTGCCAATCCTCATCTCTAGCACCAAATGTATCTTCACCCTTCCCTCGATCAAATGCTGCTGTTGTCAGAAGCCGCATTCTTTCCCTTTGAGCAGCACTCAATCTCTCACCTCGGCCAACACCACCAGAATTTCCGTTAGTTTGGTTCCCGTTAGTTTTTAATCGTTTTCGCTGCTCAACTCTCTCGGAGAGTTCCTTGTACCTAGCGCGTGTCTGCTCTAAATAAAGCTCCGGGTTCTCCCTGTAGTGGTAAAGCCAAAAGTAAGCTACATATGATTAGTAAAGTATGGATTGAAATTAGCTGGAATGAGCAATTTTAGGAAGCCAAGCCGCAGCTTGAAGATTAGATACATACAAGCGTCTTTCTTCATCTAGCTGATTTCTTCTTTCTCGTTCTGATTCTTCTTCAAGACGTTTCTGCTTTGCTCTTTGTCGGCCATCAGATGTAGTCTTAAGGAATATCTGTTTTCTCTTTTCCTTGATCTACCAATGATGCACCAGTAACATTGAGCATTTTCATTAAAAAGGAGGGCCAATGGACACTGTAATCTTGCATTTTGGTGGATAAAAAAAAACGTACAGTTGCCTCACTGACTATGTGCGAAAAAGAAATCTCAATGCAATTGGTAGCTTACCTGCTCAGGGGTCAGCATTTCGTCAGGGATGCTTATTAAAGGGTACTTTTCACTTGAAGAATCAGTCTTGTCTTCGGCTTCAGACTGGTCGGCTTTTGGCTCTCCTTTAGCTTTCCTTAGGGACAGTGTCACCTTGTGCGCAGAAGCCTCTATTTCTTGCCTGGAATGATATCCAGTCTCCCTAAGGAAATTGGGGATTTCATGAGCTTGTACCTGCTCAAGTTGCAGCAGAAGAAATTCCAGCCCACGCAACTCGTTCTCTAATTCATTTATCCGTGATGACCTCTTTGCTTCAGCCATGTCTCTCAACCTTTGACCTTGCCTTTCCCTTAAAGCAGCCTTTCTGGCTATCTCTTCCTCTGACGGGGCTTCCTCAACTGGTGGTGGAACCCATGGAAGCTGCCAAACCCTAGTTTTATCTTCAGCTTCCTCGGTCCCTTTCTGTGACACAACTGCAGTAAGTCACATACAGAGATATTCAAATATTGATAGTCATGCAGTAGGCAGGTGAGCCTGTTACCTGAAATAACTGAGTTTCAGAAGCATAGGTTGGTGCAATATAACAGTGCTCCATTTTTAGGTCTTCAACCTTTTCCCATGTAAATCGAGCCCTGATACAAATGATAAAATCTTATAAATGAAAGGATAGGCATCGGTTTATAGTAAATAGGACAATCTTTTGGAAACAGAGTCTGAGTGGGAGTATTCTCACATGTGGTGAGGGTACTTGAGTGAAAGAAGTTGCTTCATGTAGTCAGTGACATGATAACCACCAATGTTTGTCCGAGTGCATCCTTTATAAACAGGCTCTCCGGCAACGAACTGGGAGGAAAACAGAAAAGAAACTAGGGCTCCTTACAAAGTGCAGTCACCAATAAAAGTTCATTTTCCATGGGGACAAGTATGGCATGTACTTTGACTAGGGAATGGATTTAAAGCAAACAAATCCAAGGAATACAAATGAACTTCATGATGGGTATATGATTTGCATGAAGAACATAGTGTAACATAGATGCACATGAAGACCGGCCCTTTTTTTTTATGTCAATGGATCTAAACACGTAACTCAAGTCAAACATTCCCCCCACTAATGTATGATTAATCTTGAAAAGCTGTAGCAAACACGGATGTATCACCCATCATGAACTAGAATCAGGATAAGCAAACATGAGTTCAGAAAGCATACCGGAATAACATGGGTTGTGTTGAATCCTGGGCATATAGCAAGCCCATCCTCATTGCAAATCCCGTGACGCTGATTATACTTGTAGCTGAATGCAGCATCAACTCCGAAAGCTTTAAGTGAAAACAAAACTAAGGTTTAATATTTCAGTTGTATCTACGAAACAAAACAGAAAAGAACAACAGTTCCTCCAGTGCAGTGTGTGGATAGCTATCTAATCAATGACAGTTAGGGCATATACCAACTGATGGAACTCCATATGTCTCGAACAAAAGTTCTGACATTTTACTGCGGGAATGCACTGGATTGCAGACACATTCAGTGATCAGGACAGGATGATCAATCTGTTCTGAGCTCAAAAGAAAAGAAAGTCAATAAACAGCCAGTGTGTGTCAATGTGTACAAACTATCTCAGATAGACAGTTGCAATAATGCACAAAATGAATGGAATCTTGCGTGGCAAACATTGCAAAATCAGAACTATGAAACCTACCCTAAATAGTAATTGAGACACTCTGAATGACGACTAGATGATGCATCCCTACCATTTCCATTAACCCAATAGCATATAGTGCCAAATGATAGAATTAAGTAGAGCAGATCTCACTCTCATCATATGAATCACGAAAGAACAAAAGACCACGTAACATTGGGAGCATGATATACAAATTATGATAATTCATAAATAGCTTTCTCCAGACTGCTGAAGTGGAAGACCACACAGCTATAAGATACACAGTGGAAGCCTACTGAGGAATGCACTCTTGCTAAATGAACTTATTATTGTACCTGTGATCCATTTGCTCCGAGCCGATCAAACCCAAAGTCCAGAATCTACATGATAAACAGAAAAGATAATCAGCGGCAAGTTTGAACAAGGAAAACCGACAATCTCGTAACCAACATTCAGTTAATAATGTCAAATCTTGAATATGCTGAACTCAATTATACTACTGAAAGCATCAAATGTACGAAATTTAAGCAATTGCCCTACTCATACAACCATTGTATGACCCAATGCCAAACTTACATATTCCATTATCTCAAACTGGTAAACGACATTGTTGTCAAAAGCAGAACGAGGCCCGGAGCGAGTGCAATCGAAGTATCTTAATAACGCAGGATCATGGTCACCCACAATAGTGACTGTTTCACCTATATGACCAGACAAGGAGAGAAGATTAGGGCCACCCACATAGCTACTTAGTAACTGCATGCAACCCACCCCACAATGAAGAAAATGCTCGAATACGTCCTCCAGCTACAACTCTGAGCAACTAAATAGTAAGCCAAATGGCAGAAAGAAGAAACAAAACGAGAGAACAAAGAACAAAACCACTCACCAGTGCCCTTATGGCGAGGCCTCTGGACAATGTTGCGGAAAATAACCCGAGGGTCGTTCTCTCCCGCCCACCTGCCGGTACAAATTGGTGGGGGGAAAATCCAAACAAAATCAGCTAGAAAGCAAGAGGATTTTCAATCAAAACTGCAGGCATTTTGCCGTGCAGAGTAGAGAATTAGGGTTTGTAGTCAGCTTGTTCGTCCTTTACCCGATGCGGAAATAGGAAGCGCCGTTGTCGATGACGATAGGGGTGTCGGAAGGGAAGTAGGCGTAATCGGACTGTCTCTGTATCTGCGATATGAACGGCATTTTTCTACTCCGCCGCCTCTTTCTCTCTCGCCGGAAGCTGATGAAGGAGAGAAGCTTCCGTCGGCCTCTTTCTGGTCGTTCACGCAAGTAGGCGTGAAGCTTAAGTGAAGTCCGACTTACAACGATTATGGAAATTGGAAAACAAAATCAAAAAAAGAAGCAAAAGCAGAGGCCATGAATATTGAATCGAATTGCTTCGACCTCCACTGGCCAGTGGCCAGCATCGGACCGAACCTACGGGTCGAACTTGTGCCGACCAACATTGCATCTTTCCGAATCTCAGGGCCCATATAGTACTTGCTGTAATTTTAGCCCAATCTTAGAATCGGGCTCGATAACTGTCGTCAGCAGTCATGCTTGTGGATCCATCTATAAGCCCAACCTAAAACTCGCAGGCGAGTTACGTAAAAAATGATTTGATATAAAAAAAGGAAATAAGTAGATGGATTGGGTCATAATATTTAATAACAATTAAGGTTAACAAATAAGAAACATTGAAATGGAGAATTTCTTATAAAATTTTTGAAATTAAAGTTGCACAGTAGAGCATTGCATAGATAGATGATCTCTCTATGTCCTTTTTGAATATTTTTTTTTTACAAATTGTGACATCTTTATTCCAATTCGAATAAGGGTAAACATAGTTTGTTACAGAGAAACAAGATCAGCAATTACAACTTAATCTCTCGGAAGAAGGTCAAGTCTAGCATTATGTGCAACCCAATCGGCAAGCGAGTTGAGACGTCGGGGAACAACTCCACCGTCACCCAGGAAGCCGAAAGGAGGATGAGGATGATACGAGCTAAGATAGCCCGACATTTGCCACGACCACAAGTCAGGATTCTGCCTCAACGCATTTACCAGAACCTGACAATCGGACTTGATAGATGTAGGGCAAGGATCCTGAGCCGCCAGAATCACTGCATTCAACAAGGCATAAGCTTTCGCCTGTATCGGACGGGAACAAAGAAATCTCTCAACCTTGTCGTCATACACCTGACCATGAGAATTAGTAATAGTAATCTCATAAGCCGTCACCTATGAATCAGAAACAAAGGAGGCATCACAGTGCACAAACTTCAAGATTGTGCGAGGCGGTGGCGAGGAGTGTGAATGGGAAATTTTTGGATAAATATCTAGTGAGATATCGAGATATATTAAAAAAAATCATTTTTATTATCTAATGGGTTATATTGAAAAAAATTACTTTACAGAGTAGATTATAAATAGGTTTGGGAATTGCCTTGTAACGGCAATCATATCGGCTTTCACTTTCCACTTTGATTATGACATGGATATGTTGTTGCAATTGCAAATTGTATTTCACTAATGTGTGAGGTGCTTGCAACTATGCAAGCTTTCATATAACCAAAGCCTAGATGCAATTCAACGTGGCTGGTGGTGGAATTTTGTTCATTTCTTTCTGTTTTTTTAATATTATTTAAATAGTATAAAATATATTTTAGCTGTTTATTTTATAAATTCTAATTATAAGTGAATTGCATTGATATAGGTAGATTAAATTTAAATGAGTTGGATTGTATAATTGTTGAGTTAACTATCGCAACCGCCCCTCCAAATTGGGGATCCGCTTACGATTTGTTTCGGAGTCGCCATCAACCGCGTTTTGGGGCGGGTCGAACCCTTTCCCGATTTTATTATTAAGATTAAAACCAGAAATCTGGTATGCGAAAGTTTTAGATTTTCTAGGTTCGAGAGTACGATTACGGGTGCCGAAGTGTATTCACACCCCACCACGCCCTAGAACGGTACTACTTGGAAGTTGGATCAATAAGTTATTAAAGATTGGGTGTGTTATTAATTGCGGCTTATTTGTGTATTTAATTGTAACATTCGATTATTTTTAATTATTTTTTGGTGTATGTTTTAGAGTCCAATTGGACGATATGATTAGCGTAAATTTTGAATTGTTGTAGTTACTTGATAATTTCACATTTATTGACCTAAAAAAATATTTTTAAATTGGTTGGACTCGAACATATTGGTTGCCTACGTACCCGAGTTAATCAGGATCAAAGTCCACGTAGTTCGACTTTATGAAGAAAGGTTTTTGGTAAAATGAAAACCTAACACATTCTATAGACATGTGTTGGGTTTGATATTTTAAAATAGGTGGACCAGATTTTGATCCTTTGGAAATCCAATTTGAGACTAAATACGATAATGCCATCATGGTCTATTTAAAGTATAAGACGTGAACAAGTTATATGCGATCGGCCAAATGATTTAGAGCGTTGATTGTGAAATAAACACGTCTATTAGGTCATTGGTTCGAATCCGGGAAGGGTTTTATTTTTGGTCGTTTAAAGTAGAGAAGAAGGCGGTGGTGATTGACGTAATTTTTGCAAACACCAGAGGGGTAGTTTAGTCCTTTTGCCCCGAGACTATATAACTCTCTCTTAAGCCAAAAACCGAAACCATAGATCATTTTTCTAACCTACACTCCGCTCACCCTCCTCTCTTCGCTCTCGTTCTCTTCTCTCCAACAGATTACCATCGACAAATAGAAAAGGCTCGACGTCGGTAACGGTGGTTAGAGCACAACAACCCAACAGTGGTCGCAATCCTCCTCTTACCTCCTTCTCTCTCATGATGGAAGGATCAAGGAGTTTAACTTACCAACACTCACCATGACAAGCAACCTGCTAGAAGAAACCGATTATGGTCTGAGGCGAGTGGCAGCAGCTCACGCTTATTTAATCAAACAGTCTTTTGTCGAGGAGTTGATTCTCCAGGAGCCATTGCTCCCATTGATTTAGGAGTAGAATGAGTTTGGTAAGGACGTCGACCGATAAAAGGAAGGTCGGCTCTTTTGGAAGATTTTTGCTCCAAGACCCCTTTTGAGAAAGAAGTGCGAGATCTTGATGCCTTTTCCATTTATTATAATGGAGAAGATGCTCGGGATAGAATGGCTAGTGATGCCACATTTGTATATATTCTGTAAATGACCGAAGTTTGTCTCGGTTGATTAATAAAAAGTGTGCTTTTGTGTCTAACGTCTACATGAGTGATTTCATTTGAACTGTGCGCGACAATCATAACATTACATACATACATATGCATTTGTTAAAAGTTAATATTGGTACTAACGGATAATTTCATAATTGGGTTTTGTCACCAGATAAAATTTATGTTTCGAAACTTTGTTATTACAAGATGGCAAATCCAATGGTTGAAGAAGTAAAGAGTGTAATGGATGAATCAATTGATGGTCAAAAAGAGAGAGGAGACAGGTTAATGGAAAGAATTGAACTTCGACCTATGGGGCCAATAGAGATTATTGACAACCCAATTGAAGCAAGCATGACAACAATTCTCACATGGAGAAAAAGAGGCATTTGAACAGAAGTATGGGCAAATGGGTGATCTGCTAGATGTGTCGTTCCCTGCCACCGAGAGATCCTAAATTATTGGACCCATTTTACAACGGTTTCTCTATCAAGGAATTGGACTTTTCCCCGCTGCTAGAAGAGTACGAGTCAATCCTGCAAATAAATATAAGCCAGCCATACAAGATATATATGAACTGAACAAATCTGAACACAAAGAAGGCACTGTCAGAGATATTGGTGATCGGCAAAGAACAAGCTCAAAACATGATAGAGTCAAGCGGAGGACCAGAACGAGTACATATGAATCAACTCAAGCCATACCTCAATAAAACAATAAAGAGTGAAGACCACATGTGATGCAAGCCAACTCGGACTTGAACTCTCAATCACGCAGCGAAACAAGAATGTTAGTGTAATGATGGGTTTTGGAATAGTCGAATAGAGATTTTGGCGAATAAAAGGAACCAAGCAAGCAACTTCAACACTACGGGGAAGAGGCTGGTTTGGGTAGAAGAACACCACGAGATCAAAGGTGATGGATTTGATCTCGAAGTCTGCAAGTCCAGGATCTCGATCCAAGACCAAATTCAAGCACTCGTGCTCAAGAAAACTCCTCGGAGTAACTTTTATTCAACTCAATGATAACGTCCTCTTTACAATGGATGAACAAAGCTATTTATAGCCAAAATAACATAACCTAATCCTATTAAAACAATGAAAACGAATTCAAGTGCAACAAGGAAAGTAATTAACACAAATAACCAAAACTTGCACGCTAAGTAAGCTGTCCAGGAAACAGCCCTTGATGTCAACTTCGTGGCCCTAGAAATCGACCTTCTTGGTTGAGTCGAGCTCACCCAATTCCTTCTCTTGGTTTAGAAAGTTTTACTATATCATTTCCAACTCCAAGCTCCAGCTGGTCATGCTCCAAACGTCGTGAATCCAAGCTCAAAGTTGGTATCAAAAACTGTCTCCCTACCTTAACCAAAAACTGACAATTTCCAGAATGCAGGATAGGATATTGATGACCTTGAAAAACAACTCTCCTGACATTCTTTCCACGACCCACGCATTCCAACATGTATAACAACATCCCAGGTTCACAACAAGTGCTCATTCGCCCATTTCTATTGATCCAATTGAGAGATACAGCTCTCCAAAGAGGGCTTCCCAAAACTGTTTCCATACTTAGAAAATTCCCAGCTTTGTTCTTGTTGACTTGACACCATCTTTGATCGATTAATCGACATACAAATGACGATGGAATTGATATCATATCAAGCCCCCTTCTTTAAAAAGCTTTGTCCTCAAAGCTTGAATCATCCTGCACTCAAAACGGTCGACAAAATCATCCCAAATATGATCACAAAACGTCAATGTCAAAACCTTATTTTCCAGTGAGGCCCGATTTTCCGGCGAGGCTTTTGGAATTGGGGCTTTTGATTTGCGAGTGCCTCGTCCCAAATCACTGCTTGTATCGAGTTCGCCTGGCTCCCAGTGATCTTCTACATCCCTTTCTCGCTTTTGAATCGCCCCGAATCGACCCCAATCGCCGTTGCCATGTTTCCCGCCACCTGGAAATTCAAATTTTCCAGATTCCGGCGACACTTCCCCAGATTCCGGCGAGCTGTTCTGAAATTTGGGGCTTTCTTCTACGCACACCCCCAAGTCGAATTCGCGCTTCGGACACCTTTCCTGTGCTCCTAGGAATCTACTACAAGCAGTAGATTGGTCCGAATCATCCCCAATCATCACAACCGATTCGACCATTCTTGGTTCGTCGGCCGTTT